GGGCTGGCATTAGAGGTGTGCACCACCACACCTAGGCCAAGATACTACAGTCTTGAAGTAAAATTTCTTTCCCCCCAAGGAAACGAGCTTTGCTTTTAAGGCCTTTTGATTGTGCAGTTGAAGACCACCAAACTTACCAGACCTCAAGTCGGCCGCACAGAAATGTGAACCACATTAAGATTCCTCTGAGGCAATACCGAAAGTGAAAGGGGGCTGAAAAACTGGAACCGCTGTCCAGCTGTGCTGACACATAAAACCTCCCATGTGTGCGCACACACACACACACACACACACACACACACACACACACACACCACATACCCTGTTCTCAGGCTTTGCTCACTTTCCTATCGTGTTCTTTTTCTGGGAGCTGTCTATGCTGTGAAGGATGTTAACTTTTTGACTGTCATGTCTTATAATGTTTTTCTCTCAATTGTCCTTATTTCAAACGTCTCCATAACACCAGGATATCTGAACATCTGGTATTCGTTTGTTGTAGTTGTTGTTTGTTTCTGGGCTTGTTTTTGTTCTGTTTTGTTGAGACAGAGTCTCATCCGGCATAGGCTGGCCTTAATGTTGATCTGCCTCCCAGGTGCTGAGATTACGTGAGTTTACCGTCTAGCTAGACGTGTTGATGGTTTTGTTTTGTATGTTTTTCTTGGGTGTCTGTTAAAAAAAAAAAAAAGACATGTCTCCCAGGCTGGCCTTGACATCACTATGTAGACAAGGATGACTTTGAACTTCTCACCCTCCTGCTGGACAGTGCTGAGCACTGAACCAAGAGCTTCCTGCATGTTAGGCAAGCATTCTACCACTGAGCCACATCCGGGCTCCAGATGAATTGCTTTTGATGGCATCTGAACTTCTTGTCTGGTTAAGGAGATCATTCAAAGTCACTTTAGGAGCCAAGAGGGCCACTCATTCACCTAGTTTCGCAAAACTGACACTGAGTGACGGAGTCCAGGAAAGCAGCTCTCAGTGTTGGCACAGGGCACAGGGAGGCTGCATTGCACTGTGGTATACTGTGGGGCTCCTGCTTTAGCAAGAGTGTGACCCCACAGGAGCTGTAAAAGCAGCTTTGCATCTCCTAAAAAAAGGCCGTCGCTCATTTTGTCACTGAGGATGACTTTTACTGTCACATGTCTGGAGAGAATGGTCATTGCTCAAACAGACTTTGTCATACAAATACCAGAGAAACCTATCTGGTTCCCCATTTCATCTTGACACCCAGGGAGGTAAAACCAAATGTTCAAATGCAGTGATGGTTCCCTAATCCTGGATCTCTGTCTCTCTCTCTTCCTCTCCCCCTTCTTCATTTCCCTCCTACTCTCCCTCCCTCCCCCTTTCTCTCTCCTTTTCTCTGTGCCCTGTGCCCTTTCTCAGACACTATCTTTAACCACCTTTTGGCACATGTTGGTCTGCTATAAACTACTTCCTATCTCCTTTGTAAATGGGGAGACACAAAGGCAGACATTAATAAAATGACTTAAGAAAAGCAACCCAGCCCACCTGAGACACAGGAGACGCTTTCTCAAAGCAGATGAGAAGGAAATAGAGGAAGTGCAGACAGTTGACACAGAGGCTTGAGCCAGAATCAGGAGTCATTAACTTTTTAATTATTTACTAGTATTATGTGTGTATGAGCATAGTGTGTGTGTGTGTGTGTGTGTGTGTGTGTGTGTGTGTGTGTGTGTATGTGTATGTATGTTCAGGCACATGTGTGGAGACCAAAGGACAGAGTCAGTTCTCTTTCGACCATTTCAAGGGTTCCAGGGATCAAACTTGGTTTCCCAGGTTTGCAAGGCTTTACCCATTGAGTCATCTTGCTGGCCCAGCTTCATCAATTTAACTAAATAATTAATTGATTTTTCAGAAGTACTCTGGAAGAAAGAAATCACAGTAAAAAATCTGGACAAGCTGGGAGTGGTAGCACATGCCTATAATCCCAGCGTTCAGGGAAGCAGAGGCAGACAGATATCTGTGAGTTCGAGGCCAGCCTGGTCCACAAAGCAAGTCAAGGATAGCCAAAGACAAACCTGTCTCAAAAAAATAATCTGAACAATAAGGGCCAGAGAGAGGGTTCAGCTGGTAAAGGTGCTGCTGAGCCTGACACACTGAGTTCAACTTCAGGGAACAACATGGCAGAAGGAGAGATGGAAGCCACGTGCTGGAAGAAGAAAAGCAGCACCTTCCAGTTGTTCTGTGACCACCACACACACAAACCACAGTATGTTCAGGTACACAATACATACACATACTAGATAGATAGATAGATAGATAGATAGATAGATAGATAGATAGATAGATAGGTAGGTAGATAGATAGATAGATAGATAGATAGAGAGATAGAGAGATAGAGAGATAGAGAGATGCTAGACAGACAGATAGATAAAGTGTAACAACATTTTTGTTTTATTTTTTATGAGTGTTTCTCTGTGTAGTCCTGGCTGTCCTGTAACTCACTTTATAGACCAGGCTTGCCCTGAACTCACAGAGATCCACCTGCCTCTGCCTCCTCTGCTGGGATTAAAATTATGTGCAACCACCACTGAGCTGTAATAACTTTTTATCTAGACAATAAGCAGGTATAAGGAAGGTTCTGGGTTTAGGAAAAAGTAATCAGCAATGCTTGTTGTTGGCCAGCTCACAGCTCTCTCTATGACTGCCCAGATTAAAAGGAAAAAAATTATTGACAACCAGGCAGGATGAGCACATGTCTGTCACCCCAGCACTCAGGAGTTGGAACCAGAAGAACCCCTAAAAGCTTGAGGCCAACCTGGTCTACATCATTTGTTTTAGGACATAGCTACATAAGGAGACACTTTTAAAAAAAATGTAAAAATCTCTCAGCACAATTGTTAATACATCTTTTTAGGAAGTTTATTTTATTTTATGTTATTTTGTTTGCATGTATATGTGTGTGCTGCGTGTGTGCCTGGTGCCTATGGAGATCAGAAAAGGGCAGCACATCCCTTGGAACTAGAGCTATGGGTTGTGAGCGGCCTTGTGGGTGCTGGGAACCAGACCTGGGTCCTCTGCAAGAGCAGGAAGTGCTCTTAATTACTGAACCACCTCTCCGTGCCCGTCAGTGGATTTCAGACGATAAAAGGACCAACTGAGAGCAGGCCCTGCTCCAGGCCTGGGTTCAGTCTGGGTCTAAAGAGCTGAACTCTTTCTTTCCCCATTAAGTCCACAGAGATTCCCAAGACAGGAGTGCTGTCACAGTGAGTGAAGAAAGACATGGGCCTCTTCAGCCTATAAAGGAGAAGGGGCACAAGAAGAAAGGATTGGGTCTGCGATGTCCTCTAGGAACTGAGCGGGCCTGCGGGCTCTTCTAGACTGTTCTCTCTAGGAAGGACATCTTGAAGCCTGGGGAAGTTCTGTGTGAGATGCAAATTAACAAGGCCACTATTTATAGCAAGTGAATGGTGCTCTTTAATCCAGAAGGAAATGAAAGCCCAGCTGAGTTTCATTTGGGAGGTAGAAGCTGAAGAGCTGTAGTCAGAAGAATTCCAAAGGCAACATTCCGCAGACGATGTCATGTTCAACCTACTCTGATATTGATTCCTTTCCATTCCAGTCAGAGCCCCAAAGTGGCTGGGGTGCATGCATGGACCTGACCCCAAGAGGCCCTGTAGTCTCTTTTGTATCTTTGTGAATGCAGATGAATTTTGCCTCTCTGAGCCTTCCAACAGTCTCCATCAGTTGTCTTTAGAAACAGGCTACTGCCCACCTGGAAACCAAGGCTGTTGTTTTCTCATCCATCCGTTCCTGCACTGACAGCCCAGCCTGTGGCTCCTGGGTGGTTCTGTCCTATGGCTTATGAAACATCTTGCCCGAGTTTCCAGGCTGGTTGCCATCCTGCTTCCTCTCAGTACCGACATCCCAGGGGAGAGTGACCTTTGGTTCTGTTTCCCAAAATCCTCCTCTTTCTGAGAGGGTATGGTCCAGGGTCAGCTGTGAAATATTCCCAAGGCTCGACCTAGGCACCCTGATCTTACTCTCCACACCTGGGTCTTTCTGGACTAGCACACATGGGAGATCCATCATGTCATCTGGTCTTCCAAGGAGCAGACACCAAAAATGAAATGTGCAAGGACTTTTATTGGGGGAAATGGCTTTATGAGGTAGGTAGCCGGGAAGCCAGGGGAGTGAGTGTCCAGCTCTGGCACAGGTCAGAATCCCAGCGACAGCGGCCCTCTAGCTGAAGTCAGCTGTTAGAGGAGACTAGTGTCCCCCAGAAACAGGCCAGACAAAGTGTCCCTGCCATGCTCTCTGCCTTTGCCTCAGGATTGTCCATCAGCCATGTGACCCCAGTGCAAACACAGCAATGATGGAGCAGAGCAGCAGGGCCCCCAGGTCAGATGATCCTGGGGATGGGAGGAAATCTGTATGGCATGTTCTGAGGTTATCTCAAGTGCTCATGAACTTGGTTTGGGATAGTTTTCCTCTATCCCCTTCAATAAAAATCCAGAGGAGTGTGTGTGTGCGCGCGTGTGTGTGTGTGTGTGTGTGTGTGTGTGTGTGTGTGTGTGTGTACATGTGTGAACATGTGTGTACATCTAGGCCTAAGTGCCTCTATCTGTACAGTAGGTATGCATTTATCTGTGGGGTTTGTGTGTATTACCAGGGATGGGCACATGGCACAGTGTAGGTGTGGAGGTCAAAGGTCATCTTGCTAGCATCTATCTTTCCTTCTACCAGGTAGGTATCAGGGATTGGACTCAGCCTGTTGTCAGGCTCAGCAGCAGTCACCTTTACCTGCTGAGCCATCTTGTCAGCCCTATCTGTGTGCTTTTTTTATTGGTGTGTATGTATATATATTTCTATATATGTATTTGTGTGTTATATATGTATATCTCTGTGTACTGCATAGATGTGTGTGTGTTGGTGTTTTATATTTGTGTGTGCTATCTGTTTGTATACTGTGTGTGTGAGAGAGTTCAGAAAGAATCCCCTCCCTCCTGTATCCCTCACCCCATCTGTATCGCTGCTTTCAGACCATCCTGGTTGGCGACAGCGGTGTTGGGAAGACGTCTCTACTGGTTCAGTTCGACCAGGGAAAGTTCATCCCCGGCTCCTTCTCAGCCACCGTGGGCATCGGATTCACAGTAAGTACTCACCAATCCTGACAGCTCTGGAGCCGCACTGTGTTCGTCAGGGTACCAGCCGGAGACAGGCAGGTGCTCATGGGAGACCGTTAGAAGAATCTGAGTAAACAGACTATCTTAAGACGTAGTTGATGGAGACTGCATGGGGTGGGGTGTCAGCCTGAGACTCCATTCCACTCTGAGTCTAAAGACCAACGAAACAGGGGTATCTGGATATAGGTACTCAGGTCAACACCATGGCAAAAAAAGAATCTGGAAGGGTTAAGAAATGACAATACAGAATGTGCAAACAGCGTGGCCACATGGGTCTGATGTCTGGCTTTTAGCTCTTGCTCTCTCCTGGGACACAGCACCAGGACGTGGGTGGCTGGGTGGGCATCCAATAAGAGACTGGAGTCAGACTCCTTTCCCCACAGTTCTCCATAGGCTAGCAGCCCTGCTCTGCCGTACACCCTCACCTCTCTGACTTCCTCATGCCTGCAGATACTCTCTGATCCCCCTTGAGCTCTCGGAAAGGCCTTCTGTGGGCTTTTCCCATCTTTCACGCTGCTGGGTCTCCAGAACCCCAGCACTTCAGAGACTGGGAGAGCAGTGTCACGTCTTGGACAGTGTGGAGTTTAGGGCTGGGACCCAGCATCCACACTGATGAGAAGTCCCAAAATGGGCTTTTCCAAGAGGTTGGAGGGAGAAAGACAAGGGTCCAGCCTGGACATGGCTACAGGTGACTGCCCAGGAGGTGAGCAGGAAGGGAGGGCTGGCCAGCCTGTGAGCTGCCTATCCCAGAACCCACCCTGAAACATCAGCACCCAAGTGCTCCTAAAACTAGGATGAGTGAGCTGCAATGTTCTCCAGGAGAAAGTCAGAACAAGGTAGGGCCGAGTCCCAGATGGCCAAGGCTATTTGGACAGTCCCTGAGGCCTTGGGTCAGCCTGTCTGGAAGTGAGGCAGAGCCCTGTTCCCAGGTTTACTGGGGTGCTGACTTCAATGGAATTCACGGAGATGTCAGGCAGACGTTTCGTCTTTTCTAATGTTCTGATGCAAACCCCTAGACTTCTTATAAAATGGTGCCAGTCTCTTCAGGAGCCCTACCTTTGTTAGCGCCTATTTTGCACAGGCTTTTCTAACCAAACGGCAGGTTTTTCAAGACTTTCTGTTCAATCTTTTGCTCTTGAGACTCACTATAAACCTTGCTAAAAGCAGCTACAACCTGAATATTGAACTGCCTCAAAACTTCCTCCGCTAGGTTAATTAGTCTCCTGCTTTTTAACACAGCCCCCTACCAAGTCTGACAGCTCAGAAAAATGTTTTTTTTTAAAAAGAAAAGTTCTTTGCAAGATTATAACATGAATGGCTCCTAGCCCAATCCCTTAAAAAAAAAAAAAAAAACCCTTGTTCCTATCTGAAACCTCATGAGCACCATCTTCATTGTCCACATTTGTTTTTGTCATCATTTTGGTCTTCCGAGCTCAAACCAAATCACCCATTGAGGTCAGTTTATAGCACTCTAGGGCCTTTGCTAGCCCTCATCTCCAAACTTCCAAATTCTTCCAGCAAACCAATTCCAAAGGCAAAGACCCTCACAGTTAAGTCAGTCACAGCAGCAGCCCACTCCTGGTACCAATTTCAGACATTAGACTTTTCATCACTTTATTTAAAAAAAAAAAACTGTCAAAAACACCTTGAAGAAAGGTTTATTTTGATTCACAATTTCGTGGCTTCTTCTGTTGTGGTCCTTGGCTCTGCTGATTCTGGGCTCATCCTGGAACAGAACATCAGGTTACTAACCTCCTGGCAGATAGGAACCCCAGAAAGAGATATCGAGTACAACTTTTAAACCTGTGAACTACTTTCTCCAGCGAGGTCTCACCATCTCCCAAACTAATGCCACTGGCTGGGGACTGAGCATTTTCTAAAAAGAAACATACACAAAGACGTTTCCTATTCAAACCGTAACGCATTAACCTTTCCAACCAAGCCACTGCTAGTCTGATCTTCCTTGTTGCAACCCACCTTTATTTTCCCAAGACTCTCCAGTGACTGCAGGGTCCAGAGGGCGGACTAGGGTAGAGGCAGGAGCAAAAAAGTCAACATTCTTTTTTTTTTTTTTTCTCCAAACTGTGTTGCATAGATCACCTGCGGCAACGCTCTCAGGTCATGTCAAATGCAGACCCTGTGTCCCTCTTCTGATCGTACTGGAGCAGCCTCTGCTGGCTTTTACACACACCAAGTGCACGTTGAGAGCCCACTGGCGTCAACTGTGTGCTGCCTTGAGCAGAATACGGAGAGTTTAGGCGTTAACGGGCAATGGTGAGATGATGGGAGATGGACAGAGGAAGGCTTTGGGGGGTAAATCTTGCAACACTGTTGAGGTGGAACTGGAAAGTCGAATTCTCCCTACCGTTTCCCAGCTTCCGTTGGCTCCAGGCATCCTCCGTGCTCCTTGGAGCCACCAAATATTCCTGTCCCTGCCTCTGTCTTCTCCCCATTTGCTCTGCGTCCTTTCTCTAACAGTCACACTGGATTAGGGGCTTAGTCTCACTTTTCCTGTTACTGTAATAAAGTACGCTGACACAAACAATGTATCAAGAAGGGAAGTTTGGGGGTGTAGCCGATGGTGGCGGGGCGTCCCAGCAGCGGGAGCTTGACGTAGCTGGTCACATTGCAGCCACTCAGCTGAGAGCGATGAGGGTCTGTGCCCAGCCGCTTCCTCTCACACCACCCTCCTCAAGAGTGGGTCTCCCACCTCGGCTAACCTAATCAGGATAATCGCTCACAGGAACACCCGCCTGCTGGGTGAATCTCCCAGATGATTCCAGGGCCTGCCAAGTTGATGGCCAATATTAATCAGCCCAGGACCCCTATTTCAGTATGACCCAATTCTAATTTACATCTGTAATGTTCCTGTTGCCAAGGAAGGTCACATTCTGGGGTACCAGTCCCTGGGGCTTCAGCATGGGGGTGGGGGCACAATGGAACCCATAATACTGATTTTCATTGGAAGGTGAGCAAGGGGCAAACTACTTCCCCTCTCCAAGTCCCACCTTGACAAGGTCATCTCCATCCGTGTCCTAGGCCCTCCTATTAGCGGTCATGAAACAGCTCCTTCTGGTGCACACAGCAGTGCCCAGGTCTGTAGTCACCCCAAAGTCAGCCTTGCCCTTCCTCCTCACTGCCCTCATCTAAAAAGTTTAGGGGCCGACTCCCCTTCCTCCACCCTCCACCCAGGCCCCCATCCTGTTCCCTTCTATACAACGTGGGGATCGGGGTAATCGAAAGGGTGGCCCACAAGCCACGGAGCTCTGTTTATGAGCAACCCCGGATCCCCCACACCCACTGTCACCAGGAGCTGCAGGGTTCCTGGGCTGCGCTGGAAACTCCTCAAAACGACCCACGGCTTCATTCACGGATATGCGGCACACACTTGGTGGCCAGGCCTAGGCCTCACCTGAGTAACGCGGGCCCTATCTTGTCCCCTTGGAAAGACGGACTTCAAAAGCCCACGTTCCCAAGGTGGGATATTAGGGGCTTAAACCGATACACCGCGAAGGGCTCAAAGTTTTAGCGCCGCCCAGGAGCTCTCCAGATGGCACACACAGCCGGTGCGCTCCAAGGTGAGTGTTGTTAAGCAAAAGTAGACTCGGGTGAGCTGGAGCTGAGTGAAAACACCTGCTTGGGCGCCAGCCTCAGAACGCAGCCAGCTGTTCGGGGGCATCCGCCGCCTCCAGCCTGCAGTTAAGTTCGGGACCTTCCGTTGGCTGGAGCTCGGGCGCCGCCTGCTGGCCACGCTGCATAGCTGCAGTAGGAAACCAAGCACCACGCCTTCCGCTGCTAGCCGGGTCTCCGGGTCAGCGACCTCGATGGCAACCTAACCCCGCCTCTGCGACCTTAGCAGACCGGTCCTGTACCAGGACTCATTCCGCTAGGCTAATGTCTCTCAGGGGGGCTGCCAGTCCCCGCGGCGTGCAACCTCAAGTCTCAGACTTTTCAGCAGGCGTCGTCGAGTGGATGGCGGGACGGAGGGAGGAGCCTATGGGGGGGGGGTCCAAGCGGGTTGGTGGATGAGAGGGAGGAGCGGGCGGAGCCTGGGGCAGGGCGGCTCCGCGCTCTCCCTAGCCTGCAGCGAGCCCCGGCTAGCCTCTGACTGTCCGGGGACATGACTGGCACGCCTGGAGCTGCTACTGCTGGGGATGATGAGGCCCCTGAGCGCTCCCCACCCTGCAGTCCGAACTACGATCTCACGGGCAAGGTGGGTGGGCGCTGCGCCCAGGGCTGGGGACCCCCAGGCCGGCACTGAGAGACGTCCCTCCCGATGCCCTTTGCCACAGGACCCTGCCCTTCCCCCTCGACGACCCTCTCTAGAAGTGTCTAGATTGGACTCGTTCGTTCCCCAGTCAGCTGGGTCTGGGGTCTGGGGCGTAAACTCTGGGCCCATCTCAGTCTCCAGGGATCTAAACTGACATCGGAGGGCGTGGGATAAGGCAGATCAGGACTTAACTCCCCACCCTGCGGACAACAACCTAGTTCTCTTGCCACACTTTGGAGGGGCACAGAAGACACAGGCATCCCCGGCCTGCGGAGGCATGTCAAGGTTAATACCCTTTTTGAGCTAAGCCTCAAAAAGTGACACCGATCACCATGTTTTGGGTCCTCACTCAGCAGCAAAACCCCAGCCTTTTCCTCCCCACCGCCTCCAGACCTACTCTCAGACAGTAAGCTAGCGACCCCCCTACCCCCTCCCAAGCTGTGTGTAGCCAGCCCACAAGTCCACTTGGGAATTTTCAGAAGCTGAGAAAGAGCATGGCAATTAGTGACAGTGGCCCCCTCCCTCCTCTGGTAGTTAGTTGTAAAGGCGACTCTCTGGGGTCCATACCTGCTGCAGGCATGCTCTATACGAAAAGGGGGTGAGCGAGCATGAACACCAGTCTGTCTTCACCTCCCTCCTCTGTGTCCTTGGCATAATGAGCAAGTACGCGGAACTCTAAAAAGAGATGCTGAGCCAGGCGGCAACTTGCACTCTTTCTCTCCAGGGGAGATACGTGAGGGCACCGCCAGGAAGAGCCGATTCCTGGTCTGGAACGGTACCTGCCTCTTTCAGCGTCTTGATTCCTCCCCCAACAGCAGGTCTCACTCTCACTAGGAGCCTCGGGTCTCCACCCCCAGGGTTTCAGGGGAAGCCAGTTTGCTCCCCTACCAACCCCGAGCCGTTGAGATAGGCGTTCTGTGTGGGCTTGTGGCAGGAAATGGGGCTCTCAGTCCTCAGGGGAGGGGGAGCTGCTGATTGCCGGTGGGGATCTCCTGACCTCCTTGCCCTAAGAGCCGGCAGAGCTGTTTACCTAGGAGGTGGCAAGGCTGAGCAGCTGTTTGTGTTTGGTGGACTTGACCGGCTGGATGACCAGCCGCATCGTTTGCTCAAGGCAGCTTGTGATCTATCCATATTTGCCTCCCTCCCTCCCTCCCCTCCAGGGCTGGGGCCCCAGAGCCATCGGGGTGCCTGCAAAACAGCTGGCCCCAACCTGCCAGGTCTTGTCCCAGTCTTGAGTCCTCAGCTGTGGGAAAGGAGTGCGGCGGGAAAGCCCCTTGGAGCACCTTCGGAGGCCTAGGGTCCCAGGCAGCAGGCCCATGCCATGATTCCTTAGCGGCGCACACCAACCTTGTCACTGACAAACGCTGAAAAGGCCTCAAAGGAATGGGTCCCACTCCTCCACACCCCCCCCCCCACTTTTCTCCTATTATGGTGGGCAAAATGCAGGAAAAAAATATAAGAAAATTTCCCCAAAACACACAGTATGGTTTTTATAATACAGGAACTCAGACTTATATCCCTTCTGCTCAGGCCCACCCCCACGTCGCTACACTGAAGCCAACTAACCAATCCCGAAACTCCATACCTATGGAAAAGAAGCTTTTTTTGGGGGGGGCTCCGCCATCAGATTCAGAGAGCCCCAAATAATTGCAACCTCATTAACAGTGTAACCAGACAGTTGGGAACAATCCAGCTTTGAATCTATAGGTCCCTTCTCCAAGACGACTAAGCAAAGAGCTCACCTCCACCATTCCTCCATGTTCTCCGACAGTGACCCAAAGATGCCAGTTTACAGCCGTTTGTCCCCCCAGGGGATGTTTCTGCTTAAAACTTCAGACTAACTGTCTCCCCTACCTCAGAATAAATTCCAGCCTTCCCTAATTCCTGCAAGCCTATGATGAACATAAGCCCTCATTAGACACTTGCAAATAAATGTCCAACCCGACAGGAAACTCAGACAATAGTAATTTAAAGACGGTGTCCCACTCATCAAGTCTCCTCTCTCCCTCTCTTTTAAGACAGGGTCTCACTATTTAGCCTTGGCTAGCCCTTGAACTCAGCAGCCACTGACCTAGAACTCATAGAGATCTGCCCCCCCCCGCCTCCCCAGTACACGGAGGAAGGGCGTGTACCACTATGACCCTCCCCATCGGGAGGAGAGGTCTTTTTCCCCGTGTGGGAGCCCACCTGTGCACACCTGAGAACTCACTAGAGCAGCAGTAATCCCTGCACTGTTCAGCAACGGGCAAATGTGCATGTGAGGCTCCCTGGGGACCCCTGAGCACTCTGGGGGGCTCAGCTCAAGGATAGCTTCTTGTACTAACAAGAAGCTCAGAGGGAGAAGCTGGGAGGCTGAGGAAGAATGGGGAAGAGGGGCAGGGTGACAGCAGGGCAGGTGCGCTAGAAGGAACTGTTCCTCCGTCCTGCTGGCATCCTCCTCCATCCTTCTCTCTTTCTCTGACCCTCCCCAATACACCCCCCTCTGGAATCCCAGAAGACCCCTTCTCCTCTCCAGTTGCTGTTAACTGCCTCTGCCCCCATCTCCTAGGTGATGCTCCTGGGAGACTCAGGCGTCGGCAAAACCTGTTTCCTGATCCAATTCAAAGACGGGGCCTTCCTGTCCGGAACCTTCATAGCCACTGTCGGCATAGACTTCAGGGTGAGGTGGCTGCAGGCTCCTCCTACAGTGCTCTGGGTTGCAGCTCAGGCTCAAGAAGGGTTTCCTTTCCTTGATTCCTGGGGCTTATTGCCTGGGAGGCCCCAGAGGTACTCCCACTGGGACCACAAAGATGGCCAGATCAAAAGAGTTAGTGTCTTGCCCACCTTCTTCTCTGCTCTTAAAGACTACCCCAAACAAGACAGTCTCATTTCACGGTCCAAGTTGTGAGAGCCTCTTGCTCACGGCCATCTGAGCTGGGCTTCACCGTCAAAGTCAGTCTTCAAGAAGCAATTGCCAAGAAGCTGAAGGGCTGGTTTCAGGGACAGTTCTCCAGGCTGCCTCCCGCCCCCAAGGTCTCTAAGATCTTTATCAGTGCGCAGGTGGGACCACTGGGTACCGTATCCCAAAGGATCCCAGAGGGGGTGGGTCTAAACCCTTGCAGGTGGGCTCGCTGAATCTTTGCATCTCTCCAGTGGACGGAGTACTGAGGCTACATTGAGAGAATTATGGGTGGCTGGAGGAAAGCTGATCCTGCAGGTCAAGCCTCTGAAGGACCCAGGATGCTAATGGGTGCCTTCTCTCTAAAGTTGAACTCTGGGAGACAGAAACTGAAGTGGGAAAGGGGCAGAGCCTCCCACACCCTCCCTGCTGCCTGCTGGGTCCAGCGGAGCACTAGTCAGGTTTGAAGGTTTCCCTTGCCAGGCTAAGTTGTGAGAACAATGAAAGGAGGAACCTTGGAGCAGGTCCCCCGAGGCTCTACTGACTGAAGATGTCTCAGGCTCACCACACCACCTACAGGCCCGGAGAGAAACCGGGAGAGGATGCTGGCAGAGCTGGGGGTGGGGGTGGGGGTGGGGGTAGCATTCTCTCCCCTCCCCACCCTCTGCCATTTTCTCTTTCAGAACAAGGTGGTGACAGTGGATGGTGCCAGGGTGAAGCTTCAGGTAAGAGCGGAAGCTGGGGTGGGGGAGGGGCTTGTACTTGCTTCTTAACCTGAACCACAGGCCTACAGCCCTGCCCACAGCCTGGGCTAACTTCCTGTGGGGCCCATGAAAGGAAACTGCTTTTCTTTGTTTGATATCTGCAGAAAAAGCAGTTCCCAGGCACCCTTTCTCCTATCAAAGGCGACTCAAAATGCCTTCAGCTAGGCTTAGCCTCCCTCATTGCCCCTCCCCCTCCAGTTTTCCGAGTCTCTACTGTTCTAAGCACCCCCCCCCAGCCCCTGGGCTGGAGAAGAGGAAACAGCAGTAAACAGGTTTAAGACCCCAAAAACACCATTTAAGAGGTCATGAGATGCTCAGGAGCCCGTGAGAACCCACACATCTCACAGACAGCTCTCTCACACCACAGCATGAGCCTTTCAGTCAGCAGCCAGCCCTGTCTCCTTCCCACCTCTCTCTCTCCCTAGATCTGGGACACTGCAGGACAGGAGCGCTTCCGCAGTGTGACCCATGCTTATTACCGAGATGCTCAAGGTAAGCTCCCTTGTCCTCTGTCCCCTCCCCGCTCCACAGCACCTCTGCGGATGCCCTGATCTCCTCTACTGCCTTTCTCCTTCCAGCCTTGCTCCTGCTGTATGACATCACCAACAGATCTTCTTTTGACAACATCAGGGTAGGTCTTCCCCTCCCCAGCCCCAACAACCCTGCCTGTCATGAGCAGCCAGAACAGGGTCCCTGCAGGCCAGAATGCTTCAATTCTATAAAAAAAAAAAAAAAAAAAAAAAAAAAAAACAAAACACTCAGCGGTGACTGGGCATTTCATTGCCACAGCGGCATGGAAACCAAGCAGGCTGATGTGCCCTGTGTTGCCTGTACAGCCCTGACTGTGAGTCATGAGTGTGTTTCATATCAAAATGCTCAGAACAATCCCAGCTCCAGCCTGGACAGTTATCCACAGGGATCCAGCGGAAAGCCCATATCCCCAGAAAACTCCATATGTATCCAGGCCAAGTTACAACTCAGGAAGACAGAGTGAGTGGCTGTGTCCTCACAACCATTAGAGAGACAGTAACCAATAAATACAAGCATGACTCTGTGGGCAACATTGTTATGGCTTCGTGTGCTTCTAGACCTTGAAGACTGACAAGCAAACCGAGAGGATAAGACAGATAGGTATAAAAGGATGGAAACTATATAGCCTTGCCGTCTCCAATCCTATACTCGTGGCAGACATCACATTGCCTTTTGGTCAGAAAGGCAATACAGAGACGTGAAATGCAGAACCTTGTGTATAGTCAAGGCAAGTATTTACTGTATTATATCTCCAGCCAAGCTTAGTTATCTCTACCTCCCCATTACCACCTCCAGTTCCTGTTTGTTGTTGTTGTTTTATTTATTTATTGGCTTTTTGAGACAGGGTTTTTCAGTGTAGTCTTGGCTGCCCTAGGCTCATTTTGAGATCAGGCTGGCCTCAAACTATAGAGATCCACCTGCCCCTGCTTCTCTGAGTTCTGAGATTACAAGCATGTGCCACTGTGCCTGGCTGGTTGTTTTATTTTTGAGGCAGGGTCTAGATAGGTAGCTCAGGCTGGCCTCCAATTCTGTCCACCTGCCTCTGTGCAGGGAGTATCACCCTGTGTCCCCACACATGGCCAATCACATCCCTTTTGTGGTTTTAGAATCCCAACAGAGCACTCTAGGAAAAAAAAAAAAAAAGCTCTGGTCCTTGGTCTCAGCCTGGCTCAACTTCCCCTTCCCCACAGGCCTGGCTCACAGAGATTCATGAGTATGCTCAGAGGGATGTGGTGATCATGCTGCTAGGCAACAAGGTGAGTGGTTCTGTGGTACAGTCAGTGCACTCTGGCCCTTCTCTCGCACTGCCTCAGCACCAGCCCCATCGCCAGCTAAATCCTTCCTGCAGAGGACTCTGAGGTCCCCAGTGTGGGAGTCAGACATGCCCTGTGGCTTCTGCCTGTGCCACCCCAAAGCTTTAGTGGTAGCCCCTTCCCACCAACAGCCTCAACTACTGCCAGAGAGGTACCACGTGACTCTGCTGCCAGCCATCACCAGATCATTATGGACTGGGTCAAGGTCGGGGGTTAAATACAAAGAGTTTAAATGAGCTGCGGTCACCTGATGAAGCTGGGGGACCACACCCTTTGCTAGAGTGACACACCACCCCAAGTGCTCAGGCCCTTCAGCATCAGGTACACAGCCTGAGCAAGGCAGAAACGCCGGCCCCGAGCCAATCATACCTGCCTGCAGTCCCTCGGGCTACCAGAAGAGGGCAGGCAGTGCTTGCTCCTGGGGCTAAAGATGGGCTTCCTGGGGTCAAGGCTTCCTTCCCAGGAGTTGATTGACCTACTTGGGCTTCACAGGCGGATGTAAGCAGTGAAAGGGTGATCCGCTCTGAGGATGGAGAGACACTGGCCAGGGTAAGTGACTGTCAATGGGGTGGGTGAATGGTAAGGGAGCCCAGGAGCAGGTCCTGAGGATACTCTCCCCCCCCCCCCCGGCAGGAGTACGGCGTTCCCTTCATGGAGACCAGCGCTAAGACTGGCATGAACGTGGAGTTGGCCTTTCTGGCAATTGCCAAGTGAGAGCTGAGCAAGGAACGGGAGCCTGAGCTGGGGGAGGGGCAACCTGGAAAGCCAGCGGTTGGGGTCCCGGAATGCCCGGCTCTACACTCCCAGCCCAGCCCATGATTCTTCCTCTTCCAGGGAGCTGAAATACCGTGCAGGGAGGCAGCCTGATGAGCCCAGCTTCCAGATCCGAGATTACGTGGAGTCCCAGAAGAAGCGCCCCAGCTGCTGCTCCTTTGCATGACTCCCAGGGGGCTGAGAGGAGGCCCGAAGAGCCGTGGGGGTGCAGTTACTCCAACTGCCATGCTAACCAGAAGAGAGCTGGGGGCTTGGTGGGCAGCTTCTGCCACCCTGGTTTCTTTAGCTTCCCTGCATCACGGGAAGGATAAAATATTTATATTTTATCTTATCTATATAAACAAATACTAAAAACAGCACCAGTGTGGCCCCCAAACCGAAATAAGGAGGGACTGGTGGTCCTTTCCCCTCTGGGGACAAGTTCTAAACAGCCAGGCATCCCTTCTAGCAAGGGTATTACTGTGCCAGCATGGCAACAGGGGATGCCACACTGCTAGGGTATGGGAGCCCATCACCATCCTCGCTAGGGAGGCTAAGGAGAACCCAGCCTTCTCTTCCTCCAGTTTCCCGGGAGATAACCCTTCCCAATAAGGCAGGCCTTAGTGCTGGGAGCTAGCCCAAAGCCTCAGGAAAGATAAACATGGAGGTGGGGGTGGGGTGTAAGAAAACGAGGTTACCAGGTCTGCTAAGCTACCTCTGGCTTTCCTAATCCCCTTCCTGGAAGTGTGCCCCCTTTTCTCCAGCACACAAGCACAGTGGGCACCTGAAAACCTTACTTCTTATTCTCTGGACCTCACATCACAGGGGATGCCCACCATCCCATGGAATTTCTCTGTCTGCCTGGGTTCCTAGACAACAGAGGTCAGAGCCAGGAAAAAATAGCCCTCCCTCCCAATCCTTTGACAAGGTGTGCAGCAGCACAGCTATTTAAGGCAGAGGTAAGAGCCATACAAAGAGCTTGCTGGCTCCTAGAATGGGTAGGAGGCAGAACTGAACAAGCCGTACGTAGTCCATTTTCCCCCGTCAGTCCCTAGCTCTCTGTCCTCCTCCTCCCTGCTCCCTTTAACTTCAGACCAATGCTAGAGCCCAAACTGTTTTATCTCCCCCTCTTCCGATAAATCAGGCAAAGGGTGGGAAATTGTCCATTTCTGGATGAGATGATGTAAGATGAGGAAATACGTATGTGGAGAAGCCTGTGGCACAGAGAGGGGCAGCAAGAAGGTCCTGGAGGCCCAAGGCCATATGTCCCCCAAAGCTGACTCACAGGACGACACTGGAGCTGTGTGGATCTGCGGGTACAGGCACCTTTACTGCAGCTCTGTAGGCTGGGCACAGACTGAGACTCCAAGAATGTACGCATCCAACACGTTTGAGGTTCCTGTATTTGCTTTCAAGGCAGAAATCTTGCTCTCGGAACAGAGTCAGCACTCTCAACTTGGGTTGATAAGGAAGCTCTCTGTGACCTCTCACAGGCAGATCAGGGAGGAGCCTGGGCTTGCCTTGTTCCCTTCTGGGGCTCTGAGCAGATTGCAGGCGCTCCAGTCACACAGCTCTGGGCCTCTGGCATTTGTGTTTTTCAAAATTAAATTGCAGTATTTTGGAAAGTATACCCTGAGTGGTTTTTTTTTCCCCTGTTTATTCCCAGAGGAAGAAGGATCAGGTTGGAGAGTTTGTTACGTGGGTGGCGCGTTGTAGGAAACAGTTACCCAATGTCCAAATCATTCCATCCTCACCCTTTGGTGTCCTGATAGGTTCGCCCCACCCTTAACTGACTACCCTCCCCCAGATGTGGCCAGCATCTCTTCTGGCAAGAGGGAGCTGGAATGCTTATCTCACCATTCAGGTCATTTTTCTTTCTCTGTTGAGAAAAGCCAGTCCTCCATTCCCTCTGTAGTGACTCCTGAGATTGACTACCTAGCTGTTTCTCCCAGGCCTCTCTCCTTAGCCAAAGGCTGCTGCCAAAGCCAAGCCTTTTTATTTATTATTTATCTGCCCTCAGGCGGCCTGTTTTCCAGGTGGGCTGTAAGAAGCCTCAGCCTTCACGTTCTGCCCCACACGTTCCTAAATGGGATCAGAATTCAAACCTCTCTCTCTGCACATCAAGTCCTGGGATAGCGCGGCGATTCTACAAGTAGAAAGTTTGTTATTTAAACAAAACTACTCCGGAGTTACTCTGTTACAGTTACTCTGTTACAGTGTTACTGTGTTACAGAAGACATCCGTCCGGTTCTCAAACTGGCCCAGGGGAGGGGGAGGAGTAAGTGTGGGGGTATGGGAGGGTTTCCCCGGCAACTGCCGCCCCTCTCCTCCAGCCAGGCAGTGCAACAGGCTTTGGCAGTAGGCGGTTAAAGCGCTGACGATCCTTTGCCCCGAGACTGGCTCTTCTAAATCCCCCTCCGCAGCGTGGAAACCAAAGCGGAGCCCGCGGGGCCCCTGGGCTCTGTACCTGGAACCCGGCCCCGGCCCCGCCCCATCGGCCCAACTCTGCACTTGGTAACAAACACTTCCACTTCCTGGGCTCGCTTTTCTTCTCCCGCTGCGGGGAGCCGCGCCGCGCGCAGGCCACACCCCCACCATCCTGATTGGCTGGATTTGTTCACCCCCGAACAAGGGCCCCTGTTTGTGCTTTCTGGTTGGCTCTCGCGGATCCACACCCACGGCGAGGCCCCGCCCCCGGGTTTAGGAGCTGGGGCGGGCTCCGGAACGCTCAGACGCCGCGCAGGGCGGGGATTGGCCGGCTCCCTTCCTGTGCGTTCGCGACCGCGGTTCCCGGGACACCTGCTCCCTGTGCCCGGTGCGGTGCTCGGCTCCCGACTCGAGCTCCGCGGGAAGGCCGTGCGTCCCCTGCCTCCGATCGGGCCGGCGCTGAGCGTTCGCAGGGCAAGATGAGCGCGGACACGGCGGCCGGGGAGCCTCTACCCCGGCTCTGCTGCCTGGAGAAGGGTCCGGACGGCTACGGCTTCCACCTGCACGGGGAGAAGGGCAAGGTAGGCCAGTTTATCCGGCTGGTGGAGCCCGGCTCGCCGGCCGAGAGGTCGGGGCTGCTGGCCGGGGACCGACTGGTGGAGGTGAATGGCGAGAATGTGGAGAAGGAGACGCATCAGCAGGTGGTGAGCCGCATCCGCGCGGCGCTCAACTCCGTGCGCCTGCTGGTGGTCGACCCAGCGACCGACGAGCATCTCAAGAAGCTGGGCATCCCGGTCCGGGAGGAGCTGCTGCGCGCCCAGGAGAAGTCCGGACAGGCTGACCCGCCGGGCGCTGCCGACACGGAGGAGCCTGGGGACCAGAAGGAGGCTGACAAGGGCCCCCTGGAGCGGGTGAGTGCGGGCTGGGCTGGGTGTGCGCCCCGGACGTCCAGCACTTTCTGAAAATCGAGCAGCGAGGAGGAAACGGCTTCCGCCCTCTGACCCGGAGCCTTCGCAGTTTCTAAGGAAAGCTTAGGATTGCGACCCCGTGACTCCATCGCCCTGTCCCGGCTGCCAGGGGAGCGGGGAGCCTTCGCCTTCTGCACCTCCTGTCTCCTTGAGCTTTGAGGAGGCGGCGGAAAGGAGCTCAGTCCCCTGCTCGGCTCCCATTCCTTGGATTTCGCCCCACAACCCGGACTCTTTCCTGGGCTATCCCTGCCGGCAGCTAAGCTAAGAGCGCTCTCCCTGTCTCATCTCTGTCTCTTTCCTTCCCTCCCTCGCCCTCCCTCTCTCCATTCCCTTTGGATGGTAGCTGAAAGTGGCCTGAAGGCTGAGTAACAAAGGGTCCCTGGGAAGGCCCTCCCAGCCCTACCCGCATCTCCTGGGTTCCTGGCTTGTGCACTATTAACTCACACCGATTGGACTTCAGCCTCCTCAAGTCTAAAGTGACTTCTAAGAAAGAGAGGAAGTCCCAACGTCTCGGAGCGAGAGGTGGGGGTGGGGAGCGGGGAGGAGGTGCGGAGGCTTCTCGGGGGTGGTGGCGCTGCCACCCGGGAGGATTTATGGTCCTCTGGAATGTGAGGAGTAAGCGCTCGCTAGCTGGTATCTGGGAGCCTGGTGGGAGGATCTTGGAAGAGGAGAAGGAGAAAGATGGCTCTGGGAGGGAGGAGGACTGAGACCAGGCGGCGGCTAGCAGAGCCCACCGGTAGGCAGGTGGTCTCGCCCTGGTATTGTCACTGCTCACGCCAGTGTCCCGGTAGCGAGCCGGCTGGTTGGTTTTTGCCAGTGTTTGGTACTTCCCCCAAACAACTCCCGTTTGGATCAGCTGCTGGAGGGGCAGCTGGCAAAACAGGAGCTGTTGTGCTGAGCCACAGGGTCCCTAGAGAGCAAGGAAGGAGGGAGTCTGGGTTCAGGGCACAGGCTCCAGGAGCAGGGTCCCTTCAGTGTGTACCAGCTCTCTACCTCATCTCCATGTGGCAGCGGTATCCATGGAGCCAGGAAGATCCTCCCTCAACCGGGAAAGGGCACTGTTCAGCCCTAAGGTGGGAGGCGGAGCCTGAGAGTACCAACTGGTTTGGTGGAAGTGAAGTCACCAGAAGCCCTGTTCTGCCAGAGTTCGGTGCTGGGAATGTCAGGGCCACCGAGTTCTCACTTCCTGCCAGTGCCAAATTGGCATTGGCAAGCAGTAGTAGAGCCCCTGGCAGCAAGTTGGAACAGGTGACCTCTGCCTAGGCACAAACCCAATTTGAACTTTGTGCCCAGTCCATCGATTCACCAGTACCTCCACTTCCACCCCCACCCCCACCCTCGCTCCCCGCCTCCTGTTTTTCCCTTTGGACTTTAGCACCAGAACAGATAGCTAGCAGCCGCCCCTCACCCTCCAGATACACACCGAGTTGCTGTCCTGCTCGGCTCCTCCCCCTGCCCTTTCGGTTGTCCTGCTGGGTGCTGCAGAGCCTTGGTGAGGTTGTTATGGAAGGCTCTATTGTTTTGTATCTAAAAAGGCAATAGGCTGGGGCTTCCTGCTTAGGGATCTGCCCTCAGGGTCCCCACGTGGTGGTGGGACACCTGGATTTTCGGGAGAGTCCTCCTCTCCAGGAGACTCCGTGTAGAACCATCCTGGGGATATCACTGTGGGGCGTTTCAGTCATCTTCTGAGTTTGATTTTTCCCGTCTCTAAAACAGAAGCAGTGGGCAACTGTCTTCTGTCTGTCTTCTGTCTTGAGAACTACTGTCTTCTCAGTAGTTCTCAAGACGGTGGGGTTGCTGGTGTCCTGCTAGGTGTCCAAGCCATAGAAAGCCCAGTCCCTTCTGCTTTATTCTGCTAAATTCCTCTAGTATGGAGTTCCCCTCTCCCGGTCTGGGCAGCTTGCACACCTCCCACACCCCATCCAGCGTTGCAAAACATGCCAGTAAACACTGAGGCGTCCCTTTCCTCTACGTGTAAAGCGCCCAGCTGAGAGTTGGCTGTTAGTTTTAGCCTGGATTTGTTTGCAGAGTGAGGACAGCTCTGCTAATCTCTCTTCGCTTCTCATGTGACAAAGGTGTGAGCAGGAAGATGCTATTGCAGAGACTGACTGCGTGGCGCCCTGGTGGGCCAAGAGCAAACCGGGCAGGTAATGAGAGGTCCCCGGAACACTGGTCATGCCTGCCAGCCTGATGAGGCCCAAGGAGGTAGAGGAGGCTTCTTTTCGGTTTTTTGGGGGTTTTTTGTTGTTGTTGTTGTTTCTTTCTTTCTTTTTGGTTTTTGTTTTTCAAGATAGGGTTTCTGTGTAGCCCTGTCCTGGACTCGCTTTCTAGACCAGCCTGGCCTCAAACTCAGAATTTCTCTTGCCTCTGCGTCCCAAATGCTCCACCACACTGAACCTCCGCTCAGTGTCTGAGAGCAGCCTCTCTCACTGAGACTATAAATCTTTTAGATTTATAGGGACAGTTGGTTTTCTTTGAGACAGGATGTCACTTTGGCTGGCTGTGTAGGCCAGGCTGGCCATGAACTCACAGAGATCCTCCTGCCTCTGCTCCCTGAGTGCTGGGATTAAAGGTGCACTGGGCTGGACTTTAAAATCTGGCTAAACTGGCTGGCTAGTGAGCTCCAAAGATCTTCTCCAGCACCAGGATTACAAGCCTAAACCTCTCTGCTGGAGTGGGGTTTTTTAATTGTTCAGGGGTGTGTGTGGGATTGAACTCAGGTCCTCATGCTTGTGTGGCAGGAGTGTTACCATCTGAGCCACCCCACCAGCCCTTCACATGCTTTCCTATTGTCTTTCTCTGTTCACAACCAGACAAGGGACAAGGCCTAACTCCCTGAGCCTTGCCCAAAGTGAGGCCTGTGCAGACCTCCTGAGCCAGCTCAGCCGGACTGCCTGGAGCCCAGTTTCCTCATCTCCCTAAGCCTCTGTTTCCTATTGTGCAGTGTCTGGGATGATGGCAGTGACCTCATGAGGTTCCTAGGGTTACATAAGGATTTGTGTAAGTCACTCAATACCTGGCACTAAGTAAGTGCTCAACAAATGCTGATCGTTGGCATTTGAAATAATAAATAGTTCACGGTGATGAACCTTCCCTACCTGGGCAGGTGCAGCTGTGGCCAAGCCCAGCTCTCAGAAGTGCTCAAAGATCACTGTTGTTTAATGTTTACGTGATGAGCTGGGTGCGGTAACTCGGGCCCATAAACCCAGCACATGGGAGGCAAAGAAAGGCGAGGGGATTGCCGGTTCAAGGCAAGGCTGGGCTACAGACTGGGGCTCTGTGCAGGGCTTCTGTGTAGTGCCATGGTCTTCCGGTGAGACTTGGCGACTCACTCTCCTTGCTGCCTTCTATTCCCAGCCACATCTAAGTCCCGAATTCCCTCAAGCAGGCTGTGACCCCTGTAGCTCTGCACATCCAGTGCTGTCGTCGTATGTTCACGGCTTCCACGTCTGCTACACGGGAAGCCCGGGGCACAGCCTTGGGTTATCCCTATCGCTGTCACCGACACTGCTCTGTACCCACTGTAGGGAGGTGTTCAGTGATGAATTAATGAGTGAATACATAGCACCTATAAGGGACCTTTATCCCATTCATCCCAGGCCAGCACACCTGGGCTCGTCTATTCATCCAGGCCACCCAGAGATGGAATTCCAGATAGAATCAGCCCACTCCTACTTGCCTGCGAGCAGCTTCCCTTTTGACAGGGAGGCCAGAAGTCTAGGCTTTTGGGTCAGGTACAGTAGCATGGAGAGTCTCCGCTCTGCCGCTTCCGGACTCTAAAGCCCAGGTAGTTCTTTAGTCCTTGCTAACCTTAGCTAACCTTCCACTCAGTGAAATGGGATACCAGTCCCCGGCCTGCACGGTTGTTAGGAAGATCAATAAGATGACGGGTATGAATGTGAAAGCAACTTCCGGTTCCTCCCAGTTTTGACCCTGATCCTAGAGTCTAAAGATAGTGTAGCTACTGCAGGAGGCAGGATAGGGGGGTGAGCATAATCAGCTGATAGGCAGCCTACCTCCTCCCCAGGCATTTGGCAGGTTTACTTTGGTCAAGATGGAGGCTCTGAAGGGCAGACTTTGTAAGGAAGCTGCTGGGTGTTTGGGTTTGAAACAGGTGGATCTCTATGAATTTGGGGCCAGCCTGGCCTACATAGCAAGTTGGCCAGCCAGGGCTATACAATGAGACCCTGTCTCAAAAAGAAAAAAGTGGACAGGTCTTACCACGTTTGGGATCATTTTCTCAATGGGTTAAACAGCAGAGCCCTTGCTTCTTAGCCTCAGGCCAATGGTAAGTTAGTTTGTCTGGAATGATTATCTTAGAGACAGAAAGGGACTTCCTTCTCAGGAAACCTCAGACCAATGGCGAAGGAACTCCCCGTCCCTGGAGCCTCTGGGAAAGTGGGGGGAATGCCGAGGAGTTAGAAGGCCAAGGAGCAATGTCTAAGACTGTTGGAGCTGTGGTCTCTTTCCTGGGGAAAATGAGCTATAGATGTTGATCATTGGGTCCCAACCTGCCTTTCGAAGGTAGAGTAGCCCTATTTGGAAAGGAAACTTATTTAATGCGTGTGACCACTGTCACCCCAGGTAGGTAGGTGTCTTATGGGCACAGAGGTGGCAAACAAGGTATCTCAGGTCCCTAGCCATGACTCCATTGTATGTGTTTTGTATCTCCCTTTAGCTACATAGTTGTGTTGTGTGTCAGGGCCCGGCTCTCCAGGTAAATCTGGACCACATCAGGACCATCACAGTGGCATAAAGTCAGGCTTCCTTGTGCACAAAGTGATAATTTGTCTGGAATACATAAGGCTTCAGGTTCATATTCCAGCAACACAGACATACAAAATTGGCAATTCAGACTACTTGAACCATCTTCCTGTAAGGGTTGGGGTAATTAGGGCCTTGTTGGAGCCAGAGCTTTTGGGCATTCTGTCCCCAGGAAAAGT